ATTTACTCTGTAAATCTTCACCCAAATCCTAATAAAAAAAAAAAAAAAAAAGCAATTAGCCACAGGGAGGAAAAAAGGTTTAAAATCGTATTATCTAATCTCATCTGGGCCTTGGTGAGATATCACCCATGCTCTGTTTCTGATATAAGCTTAAAGAACCATTTTGTAAAAGATTGTGTCAGTGATTCCCCCTTGCAATGGTACAACCATTTTGGAAGAGTTTGGCTATTTCTTGAAGAGTTAAACATACTCCTACCATATGACCCAGTCATTCCACTTCTAGGTTTTTACCTCAAGAGAAAAGAAAACATATGTCCATACAAAGACTACAATGTAACACACATAAGTGACAAAGACTATATACACAAATGTTCATAGTAGCTTTGTAATAACCCAAAACTAGAAACAACTCAAATGTTCATTATCAACTGATAATTGGATAAACAAATTGTGGTAAATACACACAATGGAATACTATTTACTACTACTAAGAAAATCTGTTGACATATGAAACAAGGATGAATCTCAAAATTATGCTGAGTCAAAGAAGCCAGGCAAAAAAGAAAACATACTTCAGAGTTCCATTTACATAAAACTTAAGAAAATGCAAACTAACGATATTGATATTGACAGAAAGTGGTTGGATTACTAAAGACACAAGAAAACTGTGAGGGTGATAAAACTGAATGTTACCTTGATTGTGGTAATTGAATGGGTATACACATATGTACCTATGTTGAAACTGATCAAAACTTCCTTCACAGGTCTATATAGATGCAGGGCAATGTTCTTTGATTACACCCAAATAAAGCTTAAAAAATGGGGAATAACAGTAATAGCTTCAAGTTATTGTAGGTATTCACTGAATATATTAACCACTTTATCATAATACCTTAGTTTGATGTTATTAAAACTTAGGGTCGCTATGAGTCAGAAGCAACTGAATGACGGTGATTTAAGGCAGATATCCAACTTCAACCTCGCTATTGAGCTCCTCATCCCAAATGTCTAGGGGTAAATAAATGTCTATCAGCCACTCCTCGGAAGGAAGGTTGGGCAATCCTACTTCCGTAGTGATACTGCCTCGGAAACCCAAGGAGGAGTCGCTATGAGTCGGGCCCGACTCGACGGCACATAACAACAACAAACAACATTGAGCTCCTCATCCCAAATGTCTAGGGGTAAATAAATGTCTAGGCTAAAAGAGCATATATGCTAAGGAATAATAATAATAAATAGAATTTGGCAATTAGAATGTCACTGGGTGAACCAACTCTTGTTATCAAGAGAAAAAAATTGACACACACACACACAAGGTCTAGGTTCAATTTTTTTTTTCCAATGTACTTTTAACTTGATAATTTATTAGGGATTGGGGTCATCAGTTGTAATTAGGAAGTACCTCAGTATAAATGACCGTATAAAAACAAGATCTTAATAGGAAAGAGATGGAAATCACTTCTTTCAAAGCTTTAGTTTTCCTCCAATGCAAGTGAAGGAGCTACACAGGATGATCACCTAGGTACTCTACAATACTCTGAACATTAGTAATCAGTCACACAATTTATTCACTTATCAAACATCTATATTATTCCCTTATACTCTATATACCACTCTCTCTTGGTTTACTTCCTTCTTCTCTGCTTGTCCTCTTTCCTGTGGGTTCATCTTTATCAGGTGTGGATTTTTTCCCCAAGGTTTCTCTTATCCTTTTCCCTTTCTCTGTTTATGTCCCACTGAAATTAACATCTCTACTTAAAACTTCCTAACTCAAGTTTCTAGGAAAGGATAAATGATTAAAAGTGCCACGAAGCAAAATCAGATACAATGGAAAATGAAAATGGTCATTATATTTTGGCAATTAGGATGTCACTGAGCAAGCCATCCAAGGTTTTTGAGTAGAGTGGTGCATTTTTGGAAGATACCTCAGGCAATACAAGTGCAAAGAATGGATTGGAGCCAGAAAGTATTAGCACTATTGTTGTTGTTGTTGTTATGTGCCGTCGAGTCGGCCCCGACTCATAGCGACCCCTCCTTGGGTTTCCGAGACAGTATCACTACGGAAGTAGGATTGCCCAACCTTCCTTCCGAGGAGTGGCTGGTGGGTTTGAACCGCCAGCCGTCTGGTT